GCCATAAGAAAGAGATCTGGCTCTTGTGATTGTTGACGCTTCATGTGTCTCTCCTTGAAATATTGAGATTCAATCGTCATTTTCCATCTTTTCGACACTAATTTGAATCTTAGCAAAGATTTCACAGGGAGTCTTTCAAGAATCTCCTCTACATCATCTTGCTCTAAACTCATACTCTTTTTACTCTAGGATTAGGGTTTTCTACTTGGAGGTGGGACAAAGGAGCCATGAACACTTGGTTATTTATACTGAGTTCTATGACAAAATGTCAATTTAATTTCTTACTTGCTTTTCTTCCAAAATGGCAATGCTTATCTTGTTTTCAATATATTCCCTTAAAATATTTTGTCTTTTTTTTTTGTGTGTTTTAACTTTTAAGTAGTTGCCTTTTTGTAAAAAAACTTTTAAGACTTCTCAGAGGTCTATTGAACAAATTAAAATTATACCAAGAAAAGAGATTTTCATTGATTTACTGTAACTTATATTTTTCATTTAATATAATAATTGTTTTATACTGGTCAACAAATTTTGTTTTTTGTTTTTCTCGTGACTATGGTAACTAAGTTATGTTAAGCTGTTTTTCTTTTTTTTGTCCCAAGCTAAACAGGTGTTAGAAGAGAGATTTTCAACAAAAAAGAAAAAAGAGTAATTCAATTTACGACACTTGTATATTTTAAGTTTGTTTTATGATTTTCTCCCTCAAACGTTCTAAATATTCTACCACATTATATTGTTACCTTCAATTAATTAACTTAATTATAATTAAGAAAACATAAAATAAATTTATTTCTCGTATTTTCAAGTATATCTTACTTAATAGTAAAATAATGTGCTTTGCAATTTTTTTTATATACTTGGTATTATTTTGTGTGGCGCATTAAACTTTATGTTTTTATAACTTTCTCACTTTGTAAAAAAAAATTATTTACATTTCAAGATAATCAATTTTCATTGGGAAAAAATTCATTTCGTTGTTTCTTAATAAAAATTCCATAAAAATACATCAACTAAATTCCGAGAATTTTTTTAATGCTCCAATTTTTTGAATGCCTAAGTAAATATCTCAACTATTAGATTTTGACCGACGCCAAGTGTGTGACTAAATATTTTTGCTAATCGATTTTAATATTTAGATGGGTATTCCAATATTTATAAACGTACAAAAATGATATGTATTGTACATAAATGTCATAAAGTTAAAATTTGATCTACATACTTTGATGTTATATGCTTTGATCAATTTTGCATAAAATATTAAAACTAATGCAAATATTATTTATTTCAATTTATTTAAAGTGTAAAATTAATTTTTTATTATTTGTGTAAATTATAGCGTACGATAAATGAAATAAATATTAGATTTAAATGAATTTGTCGGACATAACAAACGAAAAATATATGTTTTTCAATAATGAAAAGTAAAATATTTTTAATTGTAGTTGTCGTTTACAAATAAATTATATTCTTACTAATATAATAATAAAAGCTTCTTAATATATCAATTTTATTTAAAAAAATAGATCATATGGTAAGTCTAAATATTACATTTAGTTAAACTTAAATTTGTAAAATGTGTATTACTGGGTTTATATTATAAAATTAATAAAAATGGTAAGTCTAAATATTACATTTAGTTAAACTTAAATCTGCAAAATGTGTATTACTGGGTTTATATTATAAAATTAATAAAAAATGTAGATATTTCCACCATAACATACGATTTGAATTGAAATGTTTTCATTGATTAATTTAAATGACATGTTTCTTAAAATCTCCATTGAATGACATGTATGACTTTTTTTCACCAAATATCTACTCAACTAATATATATAGGATTAGTGACATTTTTGAAAACGTTTCAAAATAATGATATTTTTGAAAAATGGTATTTTTTAAAAAAATTTCTACATTTAATATAAATGTCATGTAAATTAAGTTTTGTGAGATAAAAAATATTTATTTGTATGGGAGATATATACTATTTGACATATAGATAAATATGTTTTATCTTTCTTATTTTTAGTTTCGCATATTTTGATCTCGCCTTTGACTCGCGTCAAAAAATCTAATAGTTATTGAAAAAAAGATATTCTCAAATATTTTCTATATTCTTTAAATTAAATCATCCATATTAATTACCACATATTTGTTGTTTCCATATATTCATCATTAAAAATTTTTAATAGTCTTTATTAAGAGTTCCTTAAAATTCTCTTTAGATGACACCTAAGATTTTTCGCATAGTGTCTCTTCTATTAATATATAGAGGATATTTTTTGACCAAATTTAATACCCCAACCAATTTAATGTCCGTCTACTTATAGTTTACGAACTTGTGTTGACGGAACAGTAACGTCCGTTATTTTTTTATTTTT